ACGAATAGTACTAGCATAACCGCTGATTATTGTTTTGAGCTTTAATTAAGTTGTACATGCGTAACTGTAGGGGGCTAAACAGAACTACTACTTAAAGAATGGGTAAGCATGGTCGACCTATTAAATAGTATTAGTCATAACCTCTGGCTAAGGATCAGACTGGCGAGTTTGTGATCATGGGGCCCACGTAGAGCGGCTGCCGTGAGGCACCCTGAGCGACATAGATTCCTAATGAACGAGTAAATATAAAGTAAAGAGTTAACTAGAATAACCAAATGTCAGAATAATAGCAATAATTAGAGACGGACAAACAACCAATTTGCCTTTCAACCTAAATTCGAGGTCATACTAAAATGGAGTCAGATTAGAATTGAATTTAAAATTGAATAACTTTGCATGCTGAAAAGACCGAACACGCAAGAAACCTTCATCCACCACTGGATACCTTCCTTGGGCCAAGTGTGTGCACCTTACAATGCCCATGCAGATTTGTCCAGTATGACATTGTTAATTTGAGCCGTCTAATCTTTAATGGCACCTCTCCTACTTGTATTGAGGCTACAGGTGACGTTTTGAAAGCTCCACAACACAACCGCAGGGCCTTAGCCTGCACCCGGTCCAAGCCTGTCAGTATAGATTTAGCTGCAGAATTATACACTATACACCCATAATCAAAAGCGGAGTGAATTAAGGCAATATAAATTTGTTTCATAGATGTACCTGATGCACTCCACCTATATCCTGATAAACATTTTAGTATATTTATACCTCTCTTGCACTTATCTATCATTTTTTGAATATGGACTTTAAAAGGAAGTTTAGTGTTGAACAATAACCCTAATGATCCTTATGATCCTTTCTTGCTTGAGTGACTGTCCATACAGTTTGATATCTAGTCTAGGATTTACCTTATTTTTAGTGAAATATATATATTGCGTCTTTTCCACAGATGCACGAAAGCCCCACTCATATGACCAATTTCCAACCTGATCTATTGCTTTCTGCATTCTTACCTCCAATATACCAATGTTACGACCCCTCACCCATAATGCCCCATCATCTGCATATAAGGCTTTACTCATTCTCTGTTCAACTCCAGAAAAAACATCATCAATCATTATATTAAACAATATTGGGCTACATACACTCCCCTGAGGTGTACCATTTTCTATTGAATAGGTGTTTGATGATTCCACTCCTATTCTAATCTCAATAGTTCTTTCTTTTAAAAAGTCTAATGAACATTTTACCACCTATACACATCTTATTCAATTTAATGAATAGCCCCTCCTTCCATAACATATTGTATGCCTTTTCAATGTCAAACATGTTGCCAAGACAAACTCTTCATTTACTTGCGCTTTCCGTATTTCATTCTCCAAACAAATAATAGGATCCATAGTTGTTCATCCTTTATAAAACTGCTCTAAGTGGAGAAAATTCCTCTTTCTTTCTATTTCGTATACTAATCTTTTAGTTATGATTTTCTCCATGAGTTTGCAAAGGTAAGATGTCAAAGCTATTGGTCTATAACTTTTAACTTGTTTTATCTTTACCAGGTTTTCCTACTGGAATTATTACTGAATGCTTCCAAACAGCAGGTACTTTCCCTTGCTCCCATATTTTGTTATAAAGTATTAAAATAAAATTTTTGGCTACATCTGACAATTGCTCAGTTATCTTATAACATATTCCATCTTTCCCTGGTGATGTATTTTTGACACCTATTAACGCTCTTTTAAGTTCAAATAATGTGAACTTTGCATCAGGTGGACTCTCGCTTATTTCCTTTATTCCCAGTACATCTTTGTTTTCCTCAATTATCCTCGCTCTCCATGATACCTCCTAACTAGATAAATTTGGGGAGCTGTGTACTTTAACAAAGGCTTTTGCAAGCATTTCTGCTTTCTCTTTATTAGTTATTGCTTCCATACCATAATTTTTAAGCACAGGCAAAGAAAAATCCCTTCTAATGCCTCCCATCTTCCTAATCATTCCCCATATCTCATTAGCCTGGACTCCTGACCCGACACTACTGCAAAAATCCCTCCAATAATTCCGTTTTGCTTCTCGTCTCATTTTATTTTTTTTACTTTACCACGCTCCCTAAGGTCGCAAAACTCTGGACTTTTGGTATTCTTAAAATAAAAATTTTTTAGAGTGCCAACCCCTCAGAGGACCTCAGATTATGCCAACCTTGAAAGAACATACAGAACTACCACATTTTGCTATAAGTTTGCTTGCATCATATAATAATTGCTGTTAATGGTGTTCATCGTCTGATTTATTACGTCTTAAATTGATTTTTCCGTACATTTCTGCCATATGTACATTAACTGACAGTCACCACTGATAAGCTACCACTAAATATTGTAGAAACTTAATTTTCTGTAAAGTTGCTTTGCAATGATTTGTATCGTGAAAAGCACTGTACAAATAAACTTGAATTGAATTGAACTTTAGCCTGTGCTTTTTAAAAATTCATTAAATTATTGAATGAGTGATTTGATTTAAGCATTTTGAAAGCTTTGTTCCTAGCTTTTATTGCTTTTTTTAACGTTTTTTCCCCCTTGCCCCAGATGTTTTACCTATAGCTTCATCTGCTGATTCATATATTATACTTGTAATCGTATTATTTAGTTCTTCAATGTCATCACTCAAATGTGGCATGACCTCAATTAATTTACTACTTGCTTTAAATCTATACAGATCCCAATTAGCCTCTCTCACTCTCATTTACTTACTACCTTGTTGAATGAAAGTAATCACTCCACCCCTATTGCAGAACTTCTATCTTTACGTACTGCTGTATAACCATGAATGATAAAATCAAGTGATGGTTTTAACCAGGTTTCCTGTATACAAATGATGTTTGGCTTAACAGATAATTCTTATATGAAATGTTTTAATTCTTGTCCATTAGCAGTTAGACTTCTGGCATTCCTTTATAAAATGGATAATGCCATCAATGCCCACCACCACCACATGTTGATTGTGTTTCAGATATCCTTGCTGTTAGTGTTGCATTGATTAACTTTTCTGCTGCTTTTGTGATTATCTTGATTCTCTCTGTTCTACTGCTTGTTTGTGCTGAGCAGTTGATGACTTCTACTAGGAATATCACAAACTTCTTTTCCACAATTAATGTGTCATTAGTAATTCTGCAACTTTTCTGTGCTATGTTTTGAACTGGGGGTTGAACCACAGGTATGGTCCTAGATCTTGCATATGTATCTACTTTCCTAATTGCTTCAGCATAAGTAAGCTTTTCTTCCATTCTCAGGTTTTGAACTTGCACTGGTCTTTTATGTGCTTCACATCCTTTATATGCAGCACTATGTTCTCCTCCGCAGTTACAGCATTTCATTTTTGTTTATTCCTTGCATTTCCCATAATCATGTTCCCCTCCACACTTTGCACAACGACTTTTGGCCCTACATGCTGCTGCAACATGTCCGTACCACTGGCATTTAAAACACCTTGTTGGTGGAGGAATGTATGGTCTTATTTCTTTGTATTTCCCTCGCTAACATTACTCCAATCATCAAGCTCCTCCATCTCGTCTACATCGATTTCACTTCCTGGATTCATCTCACTTCCTGCTAATCCCGGATCACACCTCAGTCCTCCTGGATCCTCCATCCAAGCCTCCTCCCGTCCCCGCAACACTGACACCTTCACTTCCAGGTTAAGAAACTGTCAATCAAAAACTCGGTAGCCAATGAGAACCTATACTTGCTATTGCTCATTGTTGGTTGATTTGACGAACATTTGTATACAAGAGGAGTCGACCAAGAGTAGTTTTTACCTAAAGGGAGAAACTGCAAGTTTTAAGGAAGCACAAAACAAAACTACTACACACTGGAATCCACTGTTATCTGTGTGTGCTTCAATGGCTCACTCAGCTTAAATATATATTTTGGCATCTCTGTCAGCTGCAAAGAAGCCAAAAATATTATGATATATTCCTAATTTGTTAATAATACATTGCATGAATATGTGTCATATGCTGTAATGTCATTCAATGTCCGCAGAACAGTCGAGGACAGTTTAACATTTCCTGGATCCGTGCAATGCCATATTTCCATATGGCAATTGTGCAGAGACAAATTCCCGTTTAATGATCAGTCTGTGTGAGAAAGAGCAGTGATCAATAATCATACAGAAAACACTATGAGGCAGATAAGAGAGAGTCCCAGAATACAGTTGAGAGAGATGCTTGCTTTAAAACCTGCTTTCAGCAACCCAATGATGAATAATGAAGACCTTCCATTGTTTAACCCATGACTAAGCACACTAAAGAGAATGATCCACATTTCTTGCATTGTATTCTTGTAGATGTTTTAGTCACAATTTTCTTTTTATGGATTAAATGACTGAGTCATAGAGTTTGGGCATAAAATGATCAGAGCTGGAACCGGCTCTAACTGGTTTGTCCACTGTAGTCTTGACAACATGTTTACCATTACTACTCATTTGCCTTGAATATAAATGTGGACACACCTTGTTTTGTAGTTCTAGTTTTCTATTCTTTTTGGCTCAAGTTGTGAAATAATTTATGTGTATATTTTCCATTGTATAAAGAATGTTTTTTTGTTTTTTTTTCATTTATGAAATAATTATGTATATATAAACGTTCTTAACTCTCTAAATACTATACAGAAAGCTTTTATGTTTTACTATTTATCTGAAATAAAGTTGATTCTTTAAAACGGCTAAAATAAAATAAAATTCTTGAACATACAAGCCAATAAAATCAATCAAATTTGCCATATTTTTCTGCAATTAAACACATTTTGGAGTTAGTAAATAAATCAGCACTGTTCAAAAAAAAGCGTCCAGATGTTATCACTGAATGTGCGCAAATAAAGGAGGGCGGAGTTGAAAGAGTGCAGCTGAAACTTTTGAAACACATACTTCCTCGTGTTAGTCATTTCTGCAAGATAATGACTGCGAATAGAGTAAGAAGGTAAGAAGCTGATTTTATTATTATTATTATTTTAACAACTATCTATGTTTTGTTTATTTAATCTTTAAAAATGAAATATGCATGACATATCAATGATATAAAATACAGTCTAGGAGTCCATCACATAATAATAATGATAATAATATATTATTATAATTTTCCTCAACCAGAAAAATGCCACCTGGGATGGTGAATATCCGCGAGTTTAACAAGGAGAACTTCAAATCCTGTGGGCTCCAGTTAATTTCTCATGTAATGAAAGAATTTAAAAAAGAGCAAAACAAACTAAGAACTCATGTGAATGAGGTATGTCACACACACGGGGCGTCGCTCATGGGGGGAAAAGAATGACAAAGTGCACAGGGCCCAGAGGTTTTAAATTACAGCGCATGAGAAACAGCAAAAAGCAAATACTCCAAAAAAGTGTGAAGTGGCACGACCTGGTCATCTGCCAGCCGTGCACAAAAGCAGACCGGGATCAGTCACCATGTAAAGCCATAAACAGTGCAGGTCGCTTGATCCATTCAGATGTGACACAGAATTGTGGTACACAGTTGTGTGATATGAGATCATTGAAGGTTCTGTAGTGATGCTGCTAAAAACAGCCACGAACATGTGAACTGCATGACGAGGTAAACTGGAATAATTACAAGTTTGCCAATTCAGCACCATCATTTAACTTGCAGTTATTAACACTGTACAAATAGCCTAAGGTGTTTTGGCAGAAATGTATTTATTATAAATGTTACTGTTATTATTTATATGAAATATTGGAGACTTTTATAGAAGTTGTTTTTGTAGTTTCTACATGTTTATTTTTTATTGTTATTATTATTATTACAAATGTCATTGTTTATTATTACTTAATGTTTATAAAAAAAAACATATTTCCTAACCATGGTAATGAGGACCATGGTTTTACTTCTTGTGACCACCATATTACTAATACTTAAACTCTGGAATCTATGCAAGAGCTATAGTAAATGTCATTAGGGCAAAGGATAATTTAACAGAATTGCTTTAGTAGCTTCTTTCTCTTTAAATGTTTAGTTCTAATTAATTTTATTTGAAGTGAAATGTTAATTTAGTAAGAGCCTGATTAAAGATAAATATCAGTGTCTGAAATAAATAAGGTGTTTACTATTTACAAATGTTAAAGTTCTTAAAGGGATAGTTCACCCAAAAATGAACATTGTCATAATTTACTCATCAACATCATGTCATTCCAAACCTGTGTGATTGTTTTTTCTTCTGTGGAACATAAATGAAGATAATTTGAGAAATTCAATAAATTGTTGTCCATACAGTAGAAATCAAGGGTAACCAAAATGGTTTGGTAACATTCTACAAAATATCTTTTGTGTTCCACAGAAGAAAGTAAGTCATACGGGTTTGGAACGACATGAGGCTGAGGAAATCATGACAGAATTGAATAGCAGAAAAATACAAAAAGCCAAGACAAAGAATCCGCACACCAAACGAAATGCAAAGTTCAAGGTCCTTAGAACAGGAGTTTATTCCTGAAGATTTACATGGAGGTGACCAGGGCCGTAGCTGGGGTTTGCGGGGCCCCAGTGCAGGTTGTACCAGTAGGCCCTGTTTGAAAGTGTTGAATTTGTATGTTCATTCTATTTATTTAATTGTGCTATTTACACAATGTTTAAGTTTGTAGGTGTCCAGGTACAGAAACCAAATAATCAAATGTAAAATAGCACTGCATAGTCTTCACTGTAAAAATTAAATATCAACTGTTAGTACAATATTTACACAACTATCAATACTTTGTTGACCAGTTACCCAGCAATGCTTAATTTTGTTCAGTCTGTGGTGTAAAACATTAGCAATTAAAGAAAAAAACACAAGCAAAACATGGTCAGGTCAAAGTGTCTGAATAATTTTTGGTCCCAATTTTTTTTTATCAATTTTACTGGTAGTCCACTGTATGAGCCCACTAGTAAAAAAATATCAAAAATTATATCTGGTGTCTGAATAATTTTTGGTTTGACTGTGGATTAATTCTTGTTAAAACTACAAAGTAATTCAGTCAAGAGCAGTGAGTGATTTTCTTTCTTTCATTTTCTTGGATTAACATTACAGCACCTACTAAATTAGGCACGGTCACTTTAAGAGACAATGCATCCATTATAATGATACACATCAGATTTCTTTCTCCACTGTTTACTTTCACTTAAGACATAACCGACAGTTTTTTTGAGGATACTCTCCAAGACGGGTATTTTGACATAATTTTGTATGTATTCGTCGGTACAAGAGCAAGAAGAGGCAAATTTGGTGTTCAAGAGCTTTGAGACGCGTCTCTCTGTGTACGCCTTGTGCGCACAGAACACCGCGTGCGGGTGCTGAATTGGGCTCTTTCACATCTTTTTCTGTTTGCATGTTTAAACTGCGAGTTGTATTTGTTCGTTTGTATTTGTTCGCGAAGGAGAGCTCGGTTCGGTGTTGCTGTCCGTCTGTGTGCGCACCGAACACGGCGCGCGAGTACTCAGTCGAGTTTTTCCGCATCTTGTGTTTGAATGTTTAAATTGTCAAGGCTTAAAAACCTCAGTGGCCTGTCAACTGTCCTGAGCATCTTTTTAGGCTGGCCTCAGCCAGTCGGTTGAGATCGCCGGAGGGCCCCCCCTCAGCCGTGGGCCCCTATAATCGTCACCACCTTTCACCCCACTAGCGACAAAAACTAAAGTGCACAAACAAGAAAGTAACTGTGCACACAAATACAAAAAAAGCAAACGTTTCAGTCCTGGCTGGACTATCTTCAGTGCTAAAGATTCCAACACTGGTTAACAAACATTTTAAACATGTCCCTACTTTTGCTACTGATCCTTTTCAGACAAAGATTGAATTGTTTCTTTCTTTCTAGTTCTTTCTGACTATCAAATTGAAACATTTCTTTTGCAGGGATGATATCGTATCAGAGTCAAATACATGTAGCATCGACAATAGACAGACGTTTAAACCCAAAAGTTACTTTTGTCCTCAGACTACAAGTGCTTCTATTACTACTTTTTGCAAATTGGTTGAACAAGATGTGGTCACTCTTTCAGTCTCCTGATTTAAAAATAAATCATAACATCACTAAGGCGGAAAATGAAGCCCTTCATAATCTTAAGTAAAACTTTGGATGTTGTCATTAAGCCAGCAGATAAGGGGGGAGGTCTGGTCTTCATGAACACATCTGATTATGTGGGTGAAATCAGACAACAGTTATCTGATGGTCAATTTTATAAGAAGCTACAGTTTGATCCTGTTAAACGTTTCAAACTAGAAGTTGACCAATTTCTTTCTAAAGCCTTTGAATCTGGTGATATCAGTGAGACTGAAAAAGCATATTTAACGTGTGAGTTTCCAACAACGCCAGTGATTTATATTTTACCTAAAGTGCATTAGTCTCTTACTAATGTTCCTGGCTGACCTATAGTGTCTGGTATTGGATCATTAACTGAATCCCTTTCCAATTTCATTGATGCCCATATTCGACCTTTAGTGGTTCAGTTGCCATCATATCTTAGAGATACGGACGACTTTCTTGAACACTTGTCTAACATTCAAGAACTTAATGACAATATATATTTGGCAACCCTTGATGTCACTAGTTTATACACTAATATCCCTCATTCTATGGGTTTACAGGCTTTAAAAAAATTTGGAAACAAGAACAAACAAAATACCTTCTTCTGATTTATTGGTTGAAATGGCACAATTGGTTCTTTCTAAGAATCACTTTAGATTCCAGGATGATTTTTTTCCTTCAACTTCATGGTATAGCTATGGGGGCATCTTTTGCCCCAGATTATGCCAATCTATTTATGGGTTATTTGGAGCATCAATATATATATATATAACCGTAATCCAACTAATATTGTTTTCTATCAACGTTACATTGATGATATCTTTGTGAATTTCAGGGGTAGTGAAACATAATTAATTTCTTTTCGAGATTATTTGAATTCTGTACACGCTACTATACAATTTAGTCTTGAATTTAGTCGGTCGTCAATAAATTTCTTGGATACGTTGGTTTCAGTAGACAATGGTACACTGTTTACTTTGCTTTATGTGAAACCTACTGACAAAAACAGTATTTTACATGCTAAAAGTTTTCATACAAAATCTTTGAAACAAAGTATTCCCTACAGTCAGTTTGTGATATTACGGAGAATTTGCAGCAATACAGATGATTTCGATCAACAAGCTGAGACTCTATACAATCAGTTTATTCAAAGACAATATCCAAAAAGATGGCTAGTCTCAGCTTTGGAGAAGGCGTGTTCTTTTGATCATTCAGTTAAGAAAGTTTCAAGGCACAGGAATTCTTCGCATATCATTTGTTGTACCACGTATAGTCCTCTCAATGATGAAATAAAAAATATTGTCTCGAAGCATTGGCATGTGTTATCAGTTGACAATGTTGGAATTTTTTTTTTAACGATTTACCTCTTTTTGATTATTCCAGAGGACAGACTATTAGAGATCGTTTGGTACATGCAGATTGATATGTCTATGAATAGACGGCCCAAAGATTACTACAATGTGAAAGTCATTGGATTTTTCAAGTTAAAACTGAGCAACCTTTTGGTCTTAATGAAATTTTAAATCTTTCTGGCTTTCTTTAGAGGTTTTTTCTGTCCATCATAGTTTTTTTATTTTTTTTTTCAGTTAAACCCACCCATTTTGGCAGTGATTGTTAATTACCTATTGCATATTCAATTAATTGTCCAGCTGGTTCAGTTTGATCATCTGTTCTCTGTTTTGTGCCTTGATCTCCTTAAATGTTTGTTAACCAGGACTGAAACGTTTGCTTTTTTGTATTTGTGTGCACAGTTACTTTTTTGTTTGTGCACTTTAGTTTTTGTTGTCACCTCCATGTAAATCTTCAGGAATAAACTCCTGTTCTAAGGACCTTGAACTTTGCATTTCGTTTGGTGTGTGGATTGTTTGCCTTGGCTTTTTGTATTTTTCTTCTATTAATTGAATCTATGCACCCAATTATAAACATACTTTTTTTCTTTACTTAATTGGCGCAGATTTTTTTCATACTTTTCATTTACAGAATTTAATAGCAGAGCATTTCCTGCATTCTAGCTCAAAATCAATGCTTTACTGTCAAGTGCATTTCTATGTGACAAAAATGCATTATTAAGCTTCACCCAACCCAGATCGCGGACCCCGATTTTGAGGGAGCCCCATAGCAAATTTAGTGCACAAGGCCCAGAATTCCTAGCGACGCCCCGGCACATACAAATGCTATATATTTGCCAAGTAGCAATCGTTCATTTCTTATGTGGCAAAAACACATTCTAAGTATATAATATTTTCTAATAATTAATCTTGGCTTTTTATCTTTGTCTTCTTTTCAAGATTCTCCACAGCATCTTCTTTTTAGGGATCATTCATAAGGACAGTCTCACTCCCGAAGACATTATACCTGAAAAGATTGCTGAGATTACAAGACAGGAATTTCCAGAACCATTTAAGAAATACAAGAGTCATCTACCTAAGCGGACACCTTTCTCAATACTGTTAGACAAAACGGTTTCACAGACTGATTCCATCTTTTCCACAAATAACTTTTTATTGTCTAGTTCTAAAGCCCTATAACCAACTCAAGTCCCACATAGTGAAAAAGGTTTGTATGTGGATTCGTTGCTGATCCTCTACCTGCAAAAAACTTTTCTGGTCACACTTTACAATAAGATCTCATTTGTTACCATTAGTTAAAGCAGTGCTCAAAGTGGGCCGGTGTTCCGGTGAATTCAGTTCCCCTGTTTCCCCTTCGGCGCGCATGTGTGAAATCACGACATCATGATATCGAGCGCAGCGGAAAATGTGTGCTTTATTATCTCAAGCGTCAGTTTATTGTGTTATTTCCTACTTTCCATCAACATAAGGTATATTTCACGTTGTTTGTCAAATACATAAGTAAAATTCTAAAGCGTAGAATGTATTGTTTGCAGAGGTTTTATAGCTTCTTTTATAATTTCGGCGATCGTTTACATTATTATATTATTGTTATATTGTTGTTGTTGGTGTGTGTTTGTTTTGTCACACTTATGTTTTCCATAAATAAACCATATTGCACTGCACAATACTGTGTTGTTGTTATTATTATTATTATAAATAATGCGATGAAGGGGAAACAGGGGAACTGAATTCACCGGAACAACTAGATCGGGGCGTTACCTGATTGGCTGACGTCATAGTGACGGTAGGTTTACGGGCGGGGTTAGGTAAGGTTGATCATTTCATTGCATCGTTTAGAAACACCCATCAGTTTGAAAACACCCACAATGTCAGAAACTCCCACTTTTGCTCTGCAGAGACCTCGTGTTGCCAGACGTACAATAATTATCGTATCTGTACGATAATTTTGACCTCTGTACGATTTACGATCAACAATGAAAAAAAATTCCATAATGTACGATAATTTCAGAATTTTTGAACTTGTTTTTTCCAAAGTCAACCTCATAAAAACAAAGCCACGAAATCGGCTCATTACAGACAGTCTAAATGGGTTTAAACCGGTAAACTCCTGGTAAGTCCAAGGATTCAAACAGTAACCGAATGAATTCAGACAGTAATAAGTTCAAAACAGTGCTAATGCAGAGAAAACACGGCCGATTTCATCAGAGATGGCGGAGAGAATGTCCCATCACTGTCACCAGTGTCCCATTAAAATCCTTACACAAAGTGGTAATTACCGCTGATCTTTAAAGAATGTAAGTTGTTTATTATTGTGTGTCTTTCTGGTTTTAGGGCTGCACTGAGCGATTTGTTTCCAGTCCAGAGGAAGTGATGGACACTATTGATGAGGGCAAATCCAACAGACATGTAGCTGTGACAAGTATGAATGCACAGAAAAAACAGAATAAATATTTTCAATAAAGAGAATCAAATATAATTATCTTTCCATAAACCGAGACTAAACCATATCTTACCAGGAAACTCTAACATCTGCATCCTTCATTTGAGCTGATGCTTGTAAACAATGCTATGTGGGTTTAGTTGTAATAATGTCTTTGTGTGTGTCTCAGACATGAATGAACACAGCTCCAGGAGTCACAGTATCTTCCTGATCAATGTGAAGCAGGAGAACACACAGACAGAACAGAAGCTCAGCGGGAAACTCTACCTAGTCGACTTGGCAGGCAGTGAGAAGGTGTGTCAAACATTTTTGTCTCGTAGTAGGGGTTGAACGACTTCAGATTTATTCAAGTCGACATTTATGTGATGAAAGTCGAGTCGACGCCGACTAGTCGCTGATCACGTCATTAGTGAACAAATAAGCCTGAACATTGGGCTGAGACTCGAACACCTTATGCACAGCTATGCTATGGCATATGACGCAGCGCTGCCCACATAACTATTGCTCCTATAACAGCTCAGTTTTAGCAGTTTTTTTGTCTTTGGGTCGTTATATTTCTCACAGATTTCTGCTCGTTCTAAATCAGATACAGATAAAGTAGCACAGTAAAGATTACATTTATACAGTGCTTGAAGTGGGCCGGTAGTCTTTAGCGTCCTGGCACTTTTTCATGCATACTGGCACTTCTGACATGTTGCTGGTACTCAGAGTCAAAGCGTCAGTGTCTGGGTGATTCGAAATGACACTATATAAATCACACTACCCAGGACGTGGTACCAAGAATCATGTGAATGAATGCAAGCGGAGTCGGTCTACCTCAGGGGTTTTCAATGTGTGGGGGCGCGAGAGAATGTCAGGGTAGTAGAATAATAAATAATTATTGATTACTCATTTGAATCAGTACATGATAACGAAAACAATACCTTAAAAATGAAAAGAAGCAGGTTTTTGCGATCATTTTAAACCGGTAAACTCCTGGAAAGTCCAAGGATCCAGTGAGCAATTCAAACAGTAAGTTCAAAACAGCGCTAATGCAGAGAAAACACAGCTGATTTCATCAGAGATTGCGGAGAGAATAGTGACGTCCAGTCAGTAAATTATTCTTTTCAGTGTGTATTTGGCTTAAAAGTGAGTTTTATAATTGATGCTGGCTGAAGGTGTTTGCGGTGGTCAGAGTTTTAGTGATTCTGAATGGGTCCGTATAGTATAGTAGTAGCCTACAGTCAGGTAAAGGCAGGAGCTTTAGTGGTCTTTGGCGTCTCCCTGTGGTCCTGTTTGGTATTGCAGCTTGACTTGTGCTATTTTTTATTAAAAGTGCTCTAAACCAGTGGTTTTCAAACCTGTCCTGGAGTTAAACCATTAACTAGCATGAACGAACAATTAATAATATATTGTTTTACAGCATTTATTAACTTTTGTTAATTATAATGCCAGTTCACAGTGCATCAATTAATGTTAACAAATACAACTTTTGATCTTAAAAATGTATTATAAATTATTGAGATTAACTATTAATAAATGCTATAGAAGTTTGTTAATTGTTAGTTCATGTTAACTAATATTGACAAATGAAACCTTATTGTAGAGTGTTTCCATTTTTAATTATTTAAGTGCATTATTAATAAAGGTATGTATAAGTTTTGTTATTTCAAAACATCACATGGACTTGAATGTTGCCATTGTATCTAAAACAGTGCAATATATCACTGTGTCATTGTATTATAATCATCTACAGTGAGTGAACAAGTTTCACTAGTAGAGCAAGGTTCAGTCAGAATTCCCACCTTCCTCATTGATTGCCTGAATACACGGAACACATTTTATAACCCCATATTCATACAGTTCAAACATGTTCTAACTGGTTTAGTACATGGTGTGCATTTTCATCTTGACACAGAGCACAGCACAAGACACACCT